TAAGACGTCGCCATTATGCTCTATATCATGGGTATAAAACCTTCTCTATCTTGCTCTCCTTCTCTCTTCCAAATACCTTTGCATTTTTGCATCTATCCTACACCTCTACAAAGCTACAAGCTTCAGACACACCCTGCGACTCGTCACCAATATCAGAACCAATGCCACGACACCTCGTACATCTACATTGCCTAACTCGAGGGGAAACCAGAGAACTTACCATCGAAGGAACGGCGATAGCTAATGGCATCAATGAAGTTAAAGAGTCCCAACAATCGGCAACGCACCGGTCGAAATTCCGGAATGGTGACCTGGTACTCATTCGGGACTCCCAGCTTGACAAGGATCACAGCCGAAAATTGACGCCTCGCTGTACACAATCACATAAATCTCCACAGAGATATTCAAATCTTAAAGATATTAACCATGGCACAATCTACTGAAACCTTGACTATGTGTCTAAGGTGCTGACCTGAAGGGAAAGACCATCCATACCCTCGAAAGCATGTCCTCCGGGTCTAAAATGATCCCATCAGAGTTCTTGACCTTTGTACTTCTGGTCTCTGGTTGATGTTGAATCACCAGAGGATGAATCTCAGGCAGACAGCCTTCCTAAAGGTCAATGAGCTCTGGCCTCAGTGAGTGATATCCTTGACCGACCAGCCCTATCAGAACTAACAACCCCTCTAGGAGCGCAAACAAACATGCATGCTACGAATGCCGCACAATGCTCCCAGGCTTGGGGTCTTTGACACGCCAAAATATGGGACAGTTCTGATGTCTTCTGTTAAAATATACGATTATGGACATGTAATTTCCTAGACTAAGGAGTACATCGTCCGGACACCTTTTTAGCCTAGTGGTATTAGATTTCTATATCTTCAGTGACGAGCAATCACAGACTGGCTTATACTTGACTGCCGGACAACACAACCTCATCCCTACGGTAAGTGCATCCCATTACCTGTTGTACTTCTGCCGCTAAGCCGCTCATCACCCTGCAGGCGTGGGACATGGCCATCTTAGTCTTCACGATAAAACTTCCTTTCGGCAGAGATCTTGGACTCTACTAATTTTGTTGTATTCGAGAGATTCCCCTTGGCGTCACAGCACCCGCGTTGACCTCAGGTTAAAGAGACAAGGACAGCAGACTACTGCTATCACTGCGACCACAAGAGACAAGTGGCCGGCGTTGGAGACCCTTGAAGTTTTTTGGTCTCATTGTGCACAAACCATTTGCCCAAGGCCTACCTTGCCTAGGTTGTATGATTACATAGTAATGCCGCTGTCAGCGTCTGGCGCGACGAAGTTCGTCATATGTTCAGAGCCATCAACCTAGTTTGCAGCATTGAATGCAATCGGTCATGTGGCGTTCATGTCCATATCTCCCCGCCGGATAACTCCCCTGGAGTTGTATCTATTGGTGATGGGATTCTTGAATCTGACATTAAGACCGAGAGTGGAGGATTAAACAAGCTCTCGAGAACATTTGGCGCTATGGCTCCACGCAGAGAAATCACCCTGTGGTACGGAGTATATGGATACACTTTGTATTTGCGAGCCAAGTTCACCGTTGGTAGGGTAAAGCAAATAATTCCGGCCATGCAGGGACAATCATATGAATGAACCATACGACTACCACGTATAGATTCGCCTTTATGCGCTCTGGTGGCTGCATAATCGGCCAAATATCCTCGGGACCTCGGTCGCGGCAGCGGCTTTCTCCCCCGCAATCCAATGGAGATGCATTCAAACAACAGTTCTCCGCATTAAAGGAGCTCTCCACGCGCTCGCCGACTGCAAATCATATATATCTATGACAGTAATATCTCCGCTTGATTTGGTGCTCAAAATCTTCAACCTTTTACCACCCAACAGTACAACATTTACCTACCCCTCGGCCTCGACGTCCAACGAATCAACATGGGAAAGAAGCAAGTAGCGCCCGCCTATGTCCTAGGTGTGGGCATGACCAAGTTTATCAAGCCTCGTGGCAAGGTCGACTACCATGAACTCGGATTTGAGGCTGGTGTCAAGGCTATGTTGGACGCTCATATCAATTACGATGATGTCGACCAAGGCGTTGCATGCTACGTCTACGGTGATAGCACGTGCGGTCAGCGTGTCTTCTACCAGTTCGGTCTGACCAACATTCCCATCTACAATGTCAACAACAACTGCTCAACCGGCTCAACCGGTCTGGCCATGGCTCGCACCATGGTCTCCCACGGTGCGGCGGACTGTGTTCTGGTTATTGGTTTCGAGAAGATGAGCCCTGGAAGCTTGCAGTCGGTCTACAACGACCGGGCCAATCCGACTGGTCTCTTCGGTATGATGATGGCTGAGACGAGAGGAATCACCAACGCCCCCGGTGCTGCACAGATGTTCGGCAATGCTGGTCGGGAGTACATGGAGAAGTATGTTGGACCAAACCATACTCTATGCTGCATCATTCACCCTCCCGTACTGACTTCCTCCAGGTATGGAGCCAAGAACGAAGACTTTGCGGAAATCGCTCGTATCAACCATGAACACTCCAAGCGCAACCCCTACTCGCAGTTCCAGGATGAATACACGCTCGAGCAGATTCTCAAGGCGCCTATGATCCACGAGCCCCTGACCAAGCTGCAGTGCTGCCCAACCTCGGACGGAGGTGCTGCCGCTGTGATCGTCTCCCAGGCATTCCTGGATGCTCGTCCTCACCTCAAAGAACAGGCGATCCTGATCGCAGGTCAGCAACTTGCAACGGACACACCCACTCTCTACAATAGAAGCTCGATCGATCTGATGGGCTTTGGGATGAGCCGCTACGCCTGTCGGGCGGCCGCTGCTGAGGCTGGCGTCAACGTTAAGGACATCAAGGTCTGCGAACTGCACGACTGCTTCTCTGCCAATGAGATGATCACGATCGACGCACTCGAGCTCTGTGAGCCCGGCAAGGCGCATGAAATGGTCCGCAAAGGGGATATCACCTATGGAGGCAAGATGGTCATCAATCCCTCGGGCGGTCTCATCTCCAAGGGCCATCCCTTGGGTGCTACCGGTCTCGCGCAGTGTGCTGAGCTGGTCTGGCACCTGCGTGGCTGGGCCAACAACCGACTGGTCGAGGGAACCGATGCGGCACTACAGCACAACCTCGGCTTGGGGGGTGCCGTGGTCGTAACTGTGTACAAGCGTGCGGACGGCAAGGTTGCGGCCTCAGTTCCTTCAGACGTTGTCGGCAGAATCACTGGACTTGGATACAATCCAGCCGTCGAGGCAAAGGGCTTCACAATCGAGCAAGTTAAGTCGGTCCTGAGCAAGAAGCACAGCGACGAGTGGGCCCTGGGCGACACTCAGGAGAGAGTGCTCGCTCGTTTCTAAGTCAAAGGACGTTTTTAGTCAGAAACGATAAACATGACGCTTGTCATTTAATGAGGTTCTAAAGACTGCGATATATCCATTATTTCATAATTTATGAAACATGAAAGCCATTGTTTATGAATTCATACACTACTTCAGGTCTGCTTCGGCGTCGGCTGGAAGTTTGACCGCACAAGCCAACAGTGCTTACCTAATTCTAGAATCTCCCCCCACGGAATAAATTTTGCATTTCTCCTTCATCTCCCTTCGTCTCTTCTTTCTTTACCAGGTCTCCAACATACCCTTGTTGATGGATTGTTTTGTCCATCAAAGCTTATCCGTTCCGTCTGCAAATTTGAGATTTGAGACCGAGAGCGATCATCGCGTGCTCGTTCTAATCCCAACACCTGCCATACATGCACGAGGTGGTTGGGTTCGCTTTTGAGCATACATCCCTTGAAGGGAGTCCACTTCGCTATCTTCTTGGACGGATAGTTTGAATTACTTACTACTTTTCTTTTTGTTTCAATTGCAATCGCTGATCTTGCGGAATGGATATCCAAACGAGATGAAGATGATCATCTCCTGGACACCCTCCGTCGATCAATGCTCAATGCTCCCTCGCGAACTAACGTACAGGTCACTGTGGTATTGACTCACCGTATGCCACAACTTTCTCGCTTCTCTACACTTGATCATCAGGCATTTTCGAAGTCTCGTCCGTCATCTCTTCCATGATATTCGAGGTCAAAATCGTGCCGAGAATGAGTCAACATCTTGTTGCTTAAGACCTCCCTCGTGTTGCGTCCGCTCTAAGTTACATGGAGCGGTACGTGTCAAAAGAAGGGAGGTACATTCCAGTAGTACTATTCGCATGACTGCATGATCATCGACAGGTATCAACTAGCAGTAACATCGATGGTGGAATGTGTTGTGGTCGCTTAGTTGTCACAAATTCTGAACCTTGAATAAATCGAATCTACCTCTCATTGATGCTCTACCACCCATCCATCGTACTTCATCAACGCTGTCGCCATCTCTGTTTCAAATATCATTAAGCTTTTTCAAGTATCTTGACTCAAAGGGTGGACTCTCCTCATCAAGCCAACTACGTAAAGTGGCGCTTCCAAGGGTAGACGATGATCTACATTCTTTCCCTGTCTCTTTGGGTCAGAATGTAAATCGGTTTTGAAACCCTCAAGGGCCAATGCCGTGCCCTTCAAAGTTGCAGGAGTGAGCTTGATATTCCTCCCTTGCTTGGTACCAAGGCACGTAGCTGACCCGCGGAACTTGCATACGCAAACCTTCGTCAGGAGAAGATGCTTTTACATTCGGAAAACGAGGTTGGAGACATTCCTTCCTTAAGTATTCTCGTAGAGACGCGGTATTCGATAAGGGGAGCAGGGGCTCTCCCAGTTGACATTCCGATCCCCCTTCCACCTCCCAGGACGAGAATGTTGTCTATAAAGCATGGCCTCGACCTCGCTGATGGTCATCTGTTGAGTTCTCCTCCTTGACTGTCTCGTGGGAAGCACTGCAATTGCAAGCCAGATAACACTCTTGTTGTTGGTCGACGGCTGTCCTCTCCTTCAATATATCCTTTCCTTTCAGTATCACATTTACGATAATCGCAATACCCCATCTTCACCTCATCCAAAATGGCCCGTTTCAGCTTGTCCTTCCTTGCTCTCTGCTTCTTCCTGGCCCTCATGGCCTCCGCCTTGCCCGCCAAGCGTGACGACGGCGACTTGAACCCCTCTGATGCCGTTGCGGCCGCTTTCGATGCTCTCAAGGTGCGTATTTCTGCCGCTGACCCTTTCTCTCTGCAAGTTCAAACCAGGCTCACACACTATCTCGATCAGGCCTTTGACAATCTGGATCAGAAGCAGAAGGACACCGCTGATAAGACCTCGGCTGCTCATGGGGCCAACATGAATGAGGGAACCACCACGCCCCAGCCCATCCCTTCAGGCACTCGCACCACAGTGCAGACGCCGGCCGCTGCCAGCAGCTCTGGTGCCGCTGCTCCGAAGAAGTCGACCAGCTCGGACAACATGCTCTCGCACATTCCAATTTTGGGAGGTGTTTTGGGAGGTGGTGCGGGTCTGGGCAGCCTCCTGCCAACTCGGTGAACCATGCGCGTCGAAGACGAAGTGAGGGCGTGTAGCTCGCCCATGGTCGGTTGAACATTGTTGACTATAGTTTTCTGATTTCTCGGGGAGGGGATTATTTATCGGGACTGTCGAGTGCAGCCCCCGCCTTTCTGTTCTACTGTGAAGCGAGATTGTGCTGGATGTTTTGTGGTGCGGTGGGAAACAAGATTGGCCCTTTGACTGGTAGATTAATTAGATATCTCAAATGATTATGAAATTCCTTTCTACCTCCACTTCGAGTTTGATTCATTTGGGATATATCACGGACCTGCGGCATGTTACGATGGTAGAACAGGCTGTAAACTTCTGTCTTTGGGTGCACTGCACCGATGTTTTAATATCCAGTAGCTTGCTCGGGACAGACTGGAAACACGTGTTGAGTCGAATTGAGGGAAACAGGGCACCGATATCACGCCTAGATCGAAGATGATTAAAGGTCTCGATTTCCTGCCTGAGTTTCGCCTTGAACCTGAACACTATAGCACCTAGCCAAATTCTGTTGTAACGCTCCTGGCGAGCTTATATGTACAATAATGGAGATCATGGCGGCGGATGGACAGTGCTTGGTTTGTGCAAAGCACAATAAGCTGATGATCAAATAAACGCCTTCTTGTCTTCTCCATCCCCGCTCAAGCTGTCTGCCAGTATGACCTGATTGCTTCCAAAGATGTAGACTCACATGTGGAGATATATGTACATCCTACCACACCATTCTGGGTAGTCTCGTGGAACCAGTTCTGCTCTGGGGCGTGGACTCTTCTTGTGAGCTGTTTCCCATGTCGCAAAGCAGGCCCCTAAACTGACTGGCTGGTTCATATTTCAGAGTGGCATTCTTTTCGAGTATAAAGATAACATCATGAGCTGTTGTTCTGGCTCGCTCGTTGTTGCCCTTCATATAGACCGGTGTAGTACCCGGCGAAATACCAGGCCATCATCAGATTCTTCAGCCCTTCGTCCTGGACTAAAATGTTCAAAAGTTAGTTACCGCCGGCGCTTAGACTATGCAGGAAAGTTTACCTTGTGCTAAAGCAGCTTGTGGCATCGCAGCTGCTCCCATAGGAGCAGGCTCAGTTGGATGTTTCGTCTCGGAGGGCTGATGATCAGTCGCTGTCGGAAGCCCCTCCGCAGCCTGAAAAGAGTCAAAAGACAAATCCGCCTGCTCAACCAACAAGGAGACGACTCACATTCGGTGCATTCATTGATGAGCTTTGTTGTGCTGTAGCCGACGCTGTCGCAGCGCTGGGGTTCGTGACGGACGCCTCGCCATCATCCTCCATGGCATCGACAGCTTCATCAGGCTGCTGTACATCCTGACCCATCTCGGCATGCTCTGCAGCCTCTGCCTCTCTGAGAACATCTTCGACGTTCTCTCCTTTGGCATGGATGCTGTGATACAACTGTTGCAACTGTGTTAGATACATGTCACGTGAAAGATACAAGAAACGTACCTTGTACTCTTCGACCGCTTCATCCCAGCTTTGAACGAGGGCGGAATCGTCCCATATTTCTTCTTGTGTCAGAGGCCTATTCGTATTTCTGGCTTTCCCCATTTTATGAGCCGTTGTGATGGTCTCAAGGTGAATTTATGTTGATGATCAGTTACTGGTTCCTCTGTGATGCCTGCGGAGACCAAACTCACCGCTTGGCGGTTGACCCGTCGGAGAAAAAAATGGGAGACCAAAAAAAAGTTTCCCGCACCTTTTTTTGGTAGGGTCAGATCGCGGTGCTTCAACATAGCATACAACCCGCACAATAACCAGAAATATGGCTCCCGACAAGAAGGATAAGAAGCGCAAGGGTAGGTCCATACCGTGTTCATTTTTTATCCTATTGCCGTCATATTTTTTCTAACACCATACAGCTGCGACCACAGTAGCCGCCGACTCGCCCGCAAAGAAGACCAAGAAGGTCGAGGCCAAGCCCAGCGAAGCTCCCAAAGAAGCCCCCAAGTCCATTCTGAAGAAGAACAAGAAGGATGCCCCCGCTACGGAGGAAAAGTCCGCTTCCAAATTGAAGCTCAATGGCGAGCCGGCAAGACAGGTCAAGCCTCGCAAGCGTGCGGCCGATTTCCTCAGCGACGACGAGAACGAGCCGGAAGTTGCTGCGACCGAACCCAAGGCAGATATTGAGGAGAAGAAGCAGCCCAGTAAGAAGAAGTCGAAGAAGGAAGACGGCACCCCTGCGCCCGCTACAAAAGCCAAGACAAGAGCTGCTGCTTCGAAGCCCAAGGCGAAGAAGCCCGAGCCTGTGGTCGAAAAGTCGGACGATGAGGATAACGAGGAGGTCCCTGTGGTCTCTGAAGATAGCTCTGAAGACGAGGAAGACGGTGTACTAGACGATCAGACAGCCGCTTTGATCAAGGGTTTCGAGAGCAGCGGCGATGAGGACGAGTCTGGAGATGAAGGATTTGACCCTGACCAGCCGGTTCCGAAGATCCCCGACTCCAAGAAGGCGAAGCGCAAGATCTTGAAGAAGCAGAAGAAGCACGGTGAGCCTGAAGAGCCCGGAACGGTTTATATTGGGTAAGTTCCGCAGTCCTCCTCTGCTTGGCTCTTCCGTCATGACAATGTCTCATCATCTCATTTCCATAGACGTATCCCCCACGGTTTCTACGAACATCAGATGCGCGCTTACTTCTCCCAATTCGGCGATATCACTCGCCTGCGTCTCTCCCGTAACCGCATCACGGGTCGCTCGAAGCACTACGCTTTCGTGGAGTTCGCTTCGAACACTGTTGCCAAGATTGTCGCAGAGACTATGGACAACTACCTGATGTATGGTCATATCCTGAAATGCAAATACGTCCCCTCCGAACAGTTGCACCCGGAGGTTTGGAAGGGTGCCAACAGACGATTCAAACGCACCCCGTGGAACCGCATCGAGAAGAAGAGGCTGGAAAAGGGCAAGACGAGAGAACAATGGTCGGAGCGCATTGACCGGGAACAGAAGAGACGACTTGCAAAGGCCGAGAAGCTGAAGGCTCTGGGTTACGAGTTTGAGCTTCCCCAGCTGAAGAGCGTCGACGAAGTTCCTGTCCAAGAACAGACCAAGGCGATTGAAGCTGCCGATGCGACTGCCGATGAGCCCGTGAAGGCTATCGAGGCACCATCGGCCCAGGAGTCCAAAGAGGAGACTACCGTGGACGAGACGCCTAAGAAGTCTAAAAAGGAGAAGAAGGGAAGCCAATCGACTCCTAAGCAGGAGACACCCAAGCAGGCTGGTGAAAAGGCGTTGGCGAAAAAGGGAGTAAATGGAGCTGCCGCTTCGCCAGCTACCAAGGTTGGGGCCAAGGACAAGAAGGCGGAAAAGGCGAAGGGTAAGGCCAAGGTGAAGGCGTAAGTCAATTCTTTCTATGTTCTCTGTATTTTGTTAGCACAAAAGGGTTCTGCTATATGTTTGGGATAAATTGTTGAATGTATATGTCTGTGACAAGAGTTGCTGTGACCACTCTAGCCTACTCAGCCCCAAGTAGAATCTCGCAAGACTTTAACACTCAAGTCCATGATTTTAAAATATATATCTCAACGTATCCTACTTGTAATATTTGTTATTGATGTGCAGTGCATAGTTATTCTAAAGGTATGGACATCTTTGAGATGTCAAACGCAAAACATGAAGATGATTGGCGGACTTCGAGCTACATCACGTGGTACACTAATCCTCAAATAGACTAGACTCTACCAGCGGGGCAACCGAGCAATAAAAAACCGAAACTTTTTTTCTGCTAACTTCGTTTCTTCCTCAACTCCTCGCTCAAAGGATCGCATTCAAAGCTCACACACAGAATATCTACCCGATATTCTCGTTCCTCCACCAGAGGAACCTAGCTTTGGGAGAAAGTCCCCGGACACCCTGCCCGATCCTCTGGATTCGTGGCAGGCAATGCGGAAACGCGCCGCCATAGAAGCAATTTGATAGCGGCTGACTGCCCTACTCCCTCCCGGCGCCCATGACTATATCCGACGCCTTCGCGGTGGAAACAATGGTGGTATAGCGGGGTGTCGGAGAGGGGTTGTTTCATTGGGTTGCCTTTCGTCGTGTTTGGATAGTCATGCGATTGCCTGATCCTCTCTTTTGGAGGATCGGGTAACTCAATGGGGCTCATTCTTGAGGCGAGGAGTTCATCACTCTTTACTTTTGAGTCTGTAGCTTATTGCAAAGCGGTGGCTGGATCTATGGTCACAGAAGCCCTGTCGAAGGGGCCGGACTCGTTTTTCCATTTTTGTTTTTATGTTGTTGCCCATCTACATGCACATGCGTTCGTATGATGATATACCAATCATAGAGTCAAGCCCTGATACTCCTGCTACGGCATGGGGTTGTGACGATAAACGATTGTTTTCATATCTGACGAACTTTTTCACTCCTATGTGCTCATCATAGAACGAAACAATCAAGTTCCTGCATTTATCTTAGTCTACATTTTCCGTATGCGTAGTATATAACATGGTGAACATCATTCTATTCATTGCGTCTTTTGAGCCTTTGCTGCCGAAGCAGGGCTTGCGGTCCGACTTCTCATCTGCAGCAACATAGAGGTAACAATCTCTGCCATGACGGCAATCGCTGTCGCGCAGACACTATTCCAAACTTGCACGCTAACCGATCCACGAGGTGCTCGGGGGAATGACAGTACCCATTCAACGTAGGAGGGAAACCAGCCTGCCGGAAGCGCAAAGACGGGAGTCTTGGAGTAGTAGAACTGGAGAAACATCTTGAGACCGTTGGTGCTGAGCCAGCGAGCGATCTTGACACTCCAGTCAAACGAGGTTTTCTGTGCCGTGAGTTTCTTGTCTGTTTTTGAAACGATCAATCAGCTGGGCTTCAACCTCGACAATGTGAAGTGAAGAGCGTAATATTTGAGCGTAAAATAGCAGGGCACGCACTCATTGTCTCATATTCATCCATAATCTTGTCATGCTTCCTTCTCAACTTAGCCCACTTGGCAAACTCATCTTGGGAGCTCGTGTTGTTCATGTCGCGCTTGAGCTGGACGACTTCGCGCTTCAGTCGGCTCTGCTCGCGAGCATTCTTCGATGTCGATGTAGGGAGCTTGAGGTATAGAATCCATAGCTGCAGAACATGTCAGTTAAGAATGGTTGCTCGCTCGGTCTGGGGAAGTGGCAGACTGGCAGCGTTGCCTTGCCGGTGAGAGCACTAAGCAGGAACATACCAGAGTATCAATTGTGGTTGCGCCCACGGTATTCACCAAATATATGGCGACGTGGACAAAGAATATCGTTAGAATGAGTGATAGCATCTTGGTTCGTAAGCAATATGGCCGTTGGAAGTGTAGGAATTATTCTGAGGTTCGGAGAGGGGGTATCGAGGCCAGAATTTGAAGAGCCACGATCCCACTTGCAGAAAGTAGGTGGCGCAAGTTTCGTAAAGTCGTGATCCAGGAGTAAGTCAGAACCGAAGGAGATAAACACAATATTAAAATGGCATTTGTGAGGCTGATGGAGGAGAGCTCGTGATCAAGATGACGTTGTCAAGGTGGCCTCGATCTGTGCGTTCCGCCTGTCGGCGGTGCCACTAAAACAAAGGATAACAATCAATAGCCTGACTCTTTACTTGACCCTATTGCCATTGCCATACAACACGATGCTTAGACAGAGCTTCTAAGATTCTCACTGCCAATGTGGTCCAGATAAATAAGGACAATCAAATGTCTACCACAGAAAATGCGTACCAGGAACTTGCTCAGATTTTCAGAAGCAGAGACAGTCGCATTCTTGAAATCGAGATTCTGCCGCCGCAGGTTGGCCCACTCCTTCAAGATGGGTGTTCGATAGGCATCACCAAGAAATATTTGATACAGGCCTTTGTGACCGCCAGATGTATCTTCTTCGAGCATATGGGCTCTATGCCCGACCTTAATGCTCCGAGAATGAAGTGCCCAGATGCAATCACACAAGACGAAGCGTCCATCGCCTCTGAGATCATCCTGCTTTTTGACTGTGAACATACCACGGCATGCAATTGGCGGAAGAGGCGACTTGATGCCTTGATCAAGGGCCAGGATCTTTATAGTACGGACGAAGTTGATCGCGAGAGCCTGATCCACACCCTGGAAACAGAACGCTCGCTCATGACGACCTATCTATGTTCTCCGCTACATCGGCACACCAAGTCTCCAACACTATGGCAACATCGCTTATGGCTCTTGAACCGCATGGCCAAACTTCAGCGGCAAAGCCCGAAATTTCAACTACCGCGAACTGTCGTTCCGCAGCGACAAGACCCCGGTCGAGATATGCTTGGTCCTGCGGCAAAGTTCCAGGAAATGTTCCAGGCCGAGTTGGCCGTTGTACTCCGCGCAGGGGAGCTTCATCCCAAGAATTACTATGCTTTCAGCTATATGCGCCGGCTTCATGTGGCCTTGACTGACGCACTGAACGAGATTGAGCAGAGGGCGGATAGCTCCGCCCAATTGGCTTCGTCCATCACCGAAAAGTCTTTGGATTGGTGCCTCGCTCATCCAGCGGATATATCTGGCTGGGTGTTTCTGCTCTATTTGCTGGAAAGTATTTCGCACAGAGAAACACTTCTGGCTATCGTCAACAAGGCTGTCGAATTTGGAGTGCACGTCCGCTGGGAAGGAGAAAGTCTCTGGACGTTTGTACACCTGGCTACTACGACATTTGATGTGGTGGAAACTGTTCGGGGTCAGTTATGTGGACGGGAGGAGACCACACAGACTCGTCTCGTCACAATGGATATGTTGGCTCAGACTGCCAAAAGCGAGTCGAAGGAATCGTGGAAGACATGGATGGCCAGGGCAAAGGCATGTTGGTCGAGCGTCGAAACGGCTGCATAACAGCAGAACTGTAACGATCGATCGAGGAGCCTGGTCATGTCTGGTAGCAAACGAGTTATTAGTTTGGTCCCGGTCGTCATAGACCTCTTGTCCTCCTAGTAAAATGATCCAGCTTCGCTTGAATTTACAATGTAAACTGAACGCCATATTCTGAAAGAAACGCCTCGCTAATTGTAAAATGCTCTACTAAACGCGCCGATGACTCCAAAATACCTCCAGATCAACCCCACGGAACGGCAACCCGAGGGACTTATACGCAACCTCCGTTTTTCTGACACAAATATCATAGAGCAACCTCGTTCATCCAGGGTAGCAATCCGCGCAACCAAACTTGACCAACTAGCCAAGATCTGAGAGTCCTATGAGGTTGCGGAAGTGATATTAAGCACCGAACCGGAGCATGACGGCCGAAGGGTTGATAATAGCGATGGGAAAGCAGCGCGACTGAGGATCGGAATTGCAGGTGAAAGTTTGCTGACGAATTCCGTAATGAGAGTCGTTACTTCTTTTTCCCTGCTGCTTCGGCTGCCTTTTTCGCGTCCGCTGTAGAGAAAGGAGAAACAAATTAGCACATTCAAGCTCTATTGCAACAGTCGTAAAACTCCTGGGCGCGCTTACCCGCTGCCTGTTTTGCGCGCATGATCGCAGCGTTGTTTTCCTTTGCGCGCTGGAACTCGGTGCCACTCAAGGAATTTGCACCCTTCTATAGACACCAGAGATAGATTAGCAACTGCGTTCTAAATTGAAAGAGAATTTGAAGATGGACATGTTGCCATGAGACCTGTGGGACGGCTGCGGGGACGAAAACTGACCTGCTTGGCCTTGGCCTTGAGGTTCTTCTCACGATCTCTGTCTCTCTGGTTTCCGCGAGTCATTTTGACTGCTGAGTTGTCCTGTGCAGTCCTTGCAGTCAGAAATGGAGGGGAGCAATATTTTGCGATCTCAAGCTCCAAACTAGGTAAGGAGTTAAGGTAAGAAGAGAGTGAAGTTCCAGGCCGTTAAGTGAAGTTTCTGTCTGTATCCATAACTTTCCTTTTACAGTCCGCCGAGCCCCGAATCCCAGCTTTTCCATACTTTGCGCCCATACCACGACACCAGGGGAATCAGATTGATCTGACCTATAATATGGCACTTTTTGCATCTATTGCTTCAGGAATAAGGTAGTAACAAACAATTAGTGCGATTGTCTTCTGTGAACTATCACAAGGTGACGAGACAAGCATCTTGTCCAGTGCAGCATCCACCCATCAACACAGAAATGGCAATACCACAGATTTGAAGCAACATTTTCAAGAAAGTGGGCAGGCGGTTGATGTTTCAAGCTAATATATGAAATCATGCCCTTCTAAGATGGACCATGCCATGCATCACTTTTTGCTCCATTCAATACTCCTATGCCAACTGAGCCGGCCAGAAGATCGTGCACTTGCTTCCGTATCCTGTGTCAGAAGCTTGAACCCCAAGAAGAGAGTCACACTCAGGAGACATGAGCTTTGTTTACCATGATAGTTGCACTTATCGCGTGGCGTCTTGACTGCCATAGAAGCGCTTGGATCCTGGCGGCTGGACTAGGTGGCTAATTGGTCGAAGCTCCTCTTCAGGTCAGGTCATCATTCTATTCGAGCAGGAAGCAGATGCAATAACCGGAGTGCAGTGTGGTCTTAGTATTGTAGATGTGTCCTGTGTCCACTCTACCGAGGCCGATGACATCTATTGTGTAGGGAAGTAAATCCTAACTTCGCTCGTTAGCTCTGATCTCAGCCTTGCAAGATAGTATCTTCCCGAAATCTCAATGAAGAACTTAGCATCGCTTGGAGTGAAACCTTATGACCTTCACAGGCGCCTATTCTCGCCAGGTCTGCGGGCCTATAGGGCGCTGAATTTCGACGTTGACCAAGTCTCTGCGGACCCGTTACAAGAGTAAGCGCCTGATATGAGACCAAGTACCTCGTTTCCGATCCGAGGACCGGGAGAAGATCTATTGGAGCCCAGTGAAGTCTATTCAAACATCTGCTTGAAGCAAAAAAGAAGGTTGAACGACGCCCAATCGTCAGATGTAGCAAGGCAAGCGAATGAGACGGCAGTTTCAGGCTGGTTGACAATCTCGCAGCGATAACTACTCGCTTTGTCTTCGCAACGAGGGCTTGTGACCGAGTTTGACGCCTGAGAAAATTCAGGCTTGGGAACAATAGCTGATCAGCACATCAATTCAAGACTAATTTCAGTCCTGAGCTCCAGGGTCAGTATGATGGATCGTACCCCTCGGACGGCGCTGTGCAGCGTTGGTTGTAAGGAGAAGCCGCAACTCGACTAACGAAATTATTTTTGGATCAGTTTTTATTTATCTATGTCATTTCTGGAGACATTCCCATTGTTCATGGCATGAATAGATGGCTTGATCCCAATGCCCGTCAAATTGTGTTTCAGATTCAGAATGCTGTCCATTGTCGACAGCCTTTGTCTTCTTACATTCACTCAGGCCTCACTACCTATTCTTAAACGAACCAGGATTGTCTGGCGCTAGAGCCCAAAGGAAGGAACCTGAATGATGCTGGTTCAATAGGGCTCTTATCTTTTGTCGCTTCATTGTTTACTATCTTGCTCTTTCTTTAACACTCGAGTAGACCTCGCCGGTGTGCTCTTTCTCTCCTTCTTTCTCCTTCAGTCTTTGATTCAACACAGTCCTGCTGGTCAGTTCTTGTGCCTCTACTTTCATTTCTCCATTTTCATCTACTGTCTCGCGTAGCATCGTTTGAAAAGCATCTTAACTCGACCCGAGTCCTCGATATTCTTGCATGATCTTTTGGTAGTGGCGTCTTGTCGTGCTGAACTGAGTGCTTTCGCTTGCGATAATACATACTTTGATCATGATGGCTTCATTGAAAGAGTCCTTGGCTGGACCAGGATTTGTGATCTTGAACGCCATACGAGTACTCAATATTATCGTCTTCCTGGACATCATCGCTGCAAGCATTGTGATGATAGTGAAGATCTCTCTTTTGAGCAGCTTTTTCTTCTTCCAAGCAGTCTCTCATGTCATGGCTGCAGGAATCAGCAGTAAGTGGTCCCTTTGACTACGATAGATCATGGACTTGACAACAATACTGACGCACGACAGTCTTTCTTATACTCTCAGAATTACCCTTCTTCCGCGGCTACTTCGACCGCAATTGGCCTCTGCTAGGCCAAGATTCCGGCTTCGTCACACTGGCTGTGGCGATGCTTATACTTGGAATGGGGGTCTTGGGTGATCTGAATACGCCAGCCACGAGTCAGGAATCACTTGGCCTTGCATTTTGGAGGATTGTTGTATCTGCAGGTATTCTGGCCATGGTCATGAGTGTCATCAACCTGGCGTCGGTAAGGGAACCTTATCTTCTCAAGACCTAGGAAGCGAATACTAACTTTGTCAATTACCTTAGAGCTTCGTTTTCGCAGAC